TTATTTTTAATAGTGGAGTCCTACAACCCTAATAAAACTTTCTATATCCTTCTTTTTTGTTTATTCTTCGTAGCTTTTTTTTTTTTAAAAAGTACTTTAAACTGTATAAATAATGGAATGTTTGCCTATGAGTCCCTGCATAAGAGTACTGATGCAGGATCGATTTTCAGGCCGATAAAATCAGGTATAACACTTGTTTACCTTTATATACATTGAAAATTTTCCTTATGCAACTTATTAGAAGACTAATATATAGATAACCTTCACTAACAGGATAAATCGTTGGTAATCGCATGATTAAAATCGATCTCACACACTGTCAGCTTCCAATAAACATATTCATTAAATACCTTCGTCAAATAATAATGCTCTTTCTGCAATACATTGGACAGAGTTTCAAAATGGTCATTGGAAAATGTGATTGCGAATTGCAAATGGTTGTTTTAAAGAAAGAGAAAGAGAAACCCAACATTTTATAATCATACTAATCACCTGATCTCTACGTTGGCACTTTGTTGTATCTACAAGGTCAGTAATTATACTTGCAAGGTGAAATGAATCCGATATCATAAAACTTTTCTGATGAGTAATAGGGTTTGGTAACTTTGACCAAAATTTTGGTAGTTCGATCGATTTCCATATTTTTAAATAAGTATTATTTCCTTCATCATTAAAAAGATTCAGCGTATATTCCATGAGTCTTTTCATCTAGTATTACGAATCAGAGCAAAAAATATAATCAATTAGTTGTCAACTTAGCCAACTAAATGATTAATCGATTTTTGATTCATATCACCTTGTTGGTGTTGGTCACATTACAATCGATTCAAAATGTTCTTTCTTGAGCAACTCTTAGTTTATTTGTTATGTTTTCTTGCGATTAGATTTCTGAAAATTGCATGTCTGTAATATAATGATAACACGAATATTGTTTAATATCATAGTTATAATCTGTCAAGTCTTGGGTTTCTGCTTCACAACTTCTATATCCATGGTTAGCTCCATGTCTTTTAACACCACAAAGGTTGTTACCTTGTGGCAGATCAGCAGTAACAACACCCAAACCACCTTTAACAAAAACCTCTTCCCCATTATACAAAGTTATTCAAATACCATTTTGTAGTTGCTATATATCTGCTATAAATGGTTCTATAAACTCTTCAAATTTAGCACCAAATGGTACAAATCCTATGGGAAAATGATTTTTTAACATTTTTCATAGGCAAAAGGGCATATTACCTGTTGTAATATTATTATT